CCACTTAGTAAGTGGTTCGCAACTGGGGTGTTCAAAACCAGGCTCCTTCATCAGGATCTGTGGGATGATCCTCCGAGTCCAAGGAGTTAATGAAGTACTTGAAGCCCCTCATTTTCCCATGGGTTATAGCATGTTATGGCGCCATTCATCCGGGAAAAACATGTAAAAAAAACACATGGGGATGGGTCAAAACCCTGGTACCTAGTGAACCCCAAAATAGCTGGTAAATGGATGTTCATCCCACTAAAAATGTATCTATAGGTATTGACCCATACCCACATCTTCTCCAAGGCTCAGCTCGTCGCAGAGCAGCCAAGCCTCTGGGGGTCCCTTGGGCATCTCGCCTTCCGGCAGTTCCAACACCAGCCGCGAGTTGGTATCGCCCAGCACGACCACCAAGTCGTGTTGCAGGGCACGGTAGACGGAGGCGCGGTGGAAGCCATTCCTAGGCTTCCCACAGCAGGTGGTCATGGGATTGTTGGCTTCCCCAGGTTTGGGAGGTCAAATTGATGCAAAGTGGAGAAAGATACCCTCTGGTATACTAACATAGCTATGGAAAATCACAATTGTTAATGGGTAAATCAGCTATAAATGGCAATTTTCAATAGTTATATTAGTTTACCAGAGGGTAGAGGGGAAATGACAAAATTCCAGCACCTTGTGGCTATATCATTTCCCTAAAATGGTCTGGAGCAACTCTGATGGTTATGGTTGACGGGGGTTGATGGATATCTATAGCCTTTGCATGTGGAAAAATGATCATATCAAGCTATGAAAGCCTCCAACACATCCAAATCCCAAAGAAATCATATCACATCTCGTACGAGTGCAATATCAACCTCCAATGATGTTCAGAAGGCACATGGTTTGCCAAACATATTGATGGGATTTGATGGGGTATCCTGGAATCCTGAATAATGAGGATGGTTGGATATGGTTGGGATACTCTGACCAAAATGGGAACAATCCAATGTCGCAGGCTCAGGCATTTCCAATGTCTCGGATGTGTTCAATATTATCAAAGAGTTTGTAGCACTCGGAATGGGATTTCCAGACTTCTACCAACATCTCCAAAAAAATGCGAGCTGAGAATCGGCGTGTGCACAACTCAAGCAAACAATAAGATAAGATTTGCATAATTAGATTTGGGGGGAACCTTCACTTTCCATTCGAGATCAGGGATTTATAAATTGATTGAACCAACATACTCCGTGTCATCCTGTGACAGAAAAGAAACAAACCGAAGTCAAAGCATACGATTCCGACGGGAACTTTTCGCTCCGCCGCACTACATCGATCAGAGTGTCTTGGGCTGACGTGAGGAGCCGTTGCGCGAGATGCCTTGAAAGGCATAGGATAAGATCTCGTGGAGGTGTTCCTTGCGGTCCTCCTCTTTCCCAGTGCCTGAAGGCAAATGGACGTTCACGAAGCACATAGACATAGCGCCGCAGAGGAATCGCACACAAACCTTGGGGAAGCTGCGGGAACATGGGACCAAGGCAGTATCTATGGACGTTGGACTACCTATCCTCAGGTTCTGCTGAGGTCCTGCTGATGTCCTGATGAGATCCTGCTGGTTTCGGCGCGTCCAAGCCATTTCCAAGATTTTCAAACATCAGTCATGGATAAACGTGGCATATCTATAGCTTTCTTGGCAGAACGAACGACCTGTTCTGAGCAAACCAAAGCATCCACTGGGTGATGAGGGTTTCATACTGCCCGAGGGAACGATACAACCTGCTATAGCTTTGAATGCACTTGACCTACGGTTGCCTTTGAGCTCGATGTACCGTACCTTCCAACCCAAAAAAGAAACGCATCCCCGAGATCTTGGATGATCTTCGCATATTTAGCAACTTTTCTTTGGCTCAGCGGCTGCTCACCACCCTGCAGCCCATTTGCCCCCAGTACCTGCCACCAAGCAGCTCCACCTTTGTTGCCCCCCAGACCCTCGATGCCCGTTTTCACGCGGTCGCAGTCGATCTCACCGATGTTTTGCGACAAATGTGCTGACACATAGGTCAGCAGGGACAGTCCAACCATCCTGGAGCCAGTCACTGGACCCACTGGAACATTCAGACAAGCCCAAGGATGATGGAATCAGGTGCTTGGATGTGCCCTGTGATTATAATTAACTGGTTTGTAACTGGCTTATAAATGACTAAATAATAATTACTAAATAATGGATTGCAACATATTATAACACAGCTATCCAACCACATGCCGCATCCACTCAATTCATGCCAGGGACCATCTAAGTGGAATCTCATCCCTGGAGATCTTGGTGATGGCTCATGTAAATGCGTCAATTGGTGGTTTTCTGTTTCCGATTTCCTGAACCACTGTGAAAGGAAAATCATGGGCTCTCAGTATCACCATGGGACCTTGTGAATGCCGTGTGCCGATTGAACTGCTACTCAACGGTTGAATATGGATGGAGACAACACAGTACGTGCACTCAGTCCAGAGGTTAGGTACTTTTACAAATCTTTCCCCCCACACTCAGGTGAACTGCTACAAAAACACAGGGGCTCCCATCTCCATCCCTTCATCTATCAAATTCAACTGCCCCAATTTTCCCCATATCTCTTGGAGGGCGTCTAACCCACAGTTCAACCATTCCCCATTTTTTGCATCCATTTCCCATGCATCACACCCCCCAAATGCAGAATCTCAGTGTCCCAAAGCTACAAACCTTCAGAAAATCTCGGCCGCTGGCCGCCAGTGTCGCCTCAATCTTCGCTTCCAGTTCCAACTGCCTCTCCTGGCAGAGCCGAGCTGGTCGAGATTCCATGTCTTTCACACGAAAAATGACAACCATCAAACTAGAAATAGTCAATGATTGATGGTCAATGATATTACCATCTGGTTATTTAACATAGCCATGGAAAATCACCATTTTTAATAGGTAAACCATCTATAAATGGGTCATTTCCCATGGCTATGTTAAATAACCAGAGGGTAATCATACTATTAATGGGAAATAGTCAATGATAACCATCAATGTTTTCAGGTCAAGTCAGGATTAATCCATACTCCCCCATTACTAATAACAACCTTGTGAACCGCAAGGTCGCTGGCGGGGGTACTGTGGCGGACCGGCACTTAGAATTTAAAAAAAAGATTAAAGTTTTGGAATATGGATTTATGTTAATTTTTAACATACTTGAGCCCGGGGTGAAAAGCACTAAGAATATTCAAATCGAGGGGGTACACATAGAATATTTTTGTAGTATGCTGTCTTAAGGAAAAACTAGCTACATCCGACCATATATCCCAGTAATTCCCAATAAAAATCATTACCTCCAAGCCTCCTCTCGCTCTCTCTCTCTCTCTATCCCCGTTCCTGTTTTTTTTTTTGGGTTTCCCCATCAATCTATGGTACTCTACCGTGCTACCGCATGAGTACCTCAATGTATGGGTTCGCAAATCTCAATGGAAAACGAACAAAACCCAATACATCAACACAACAAGAACATGGTTTACAATAACAAACTCAACAGTAAACTTGTTGGTTCGGTACCTTCTTTGATGGACTATCAGTGACTATGTAGTTGTGGCCATATTCTAAGTGCATTTACTGCCCATAAGCGCACAGTTATACAGGCAAAAGCAGCACGTGCAAAACCGGTTGGTGCTGTACCATGCGTGTTTTGCTGCAGTACCAAAAACAACTGGTACCGTACTGAGATTTATCGGCGATCATGAACTCAACAGTTGCATTTTGTTTATGTTTTGTTGGTATTGTACACGGCTTGTCTTGCAGTAACAAACTCAACTATATATAAACTGTTCAGTTCTGTATCTTGCTTGATGGACAAAGTGACTCTGGCAGTTGTGTGCATATTCTAAGTGCATTTACTGCGCAGAAACGCACACTTTTACACGAAAACAACTGCCAAACGGTTGGTACTCTACCGTGCGTGTTTCGCACTACCAGATGCAAGAACTGTAAGCCATGCGGTGCTCTGCTGAAATTGTTGTGCAAACATGAACTCAACTGTTTCATGATTTGGTACTGTACAGTGCTTGTTTTGCAACAAAGAACTCAACTATAAACTGTCCGGTTCTGTATCTTATTTGATGGAATACGCGACTCTGGCAGTTGTGGACATATTCTAACTGCATTCACTGTCCAGAAATGCACAGTTTTACACAAGCAAAAATAACAAATGCCAACCGGTTGGTACTGTACCATGCATGTGTTGCAGCACCAAATGCAACAACAGACAGTAAACCATGTGGTGATGTACTGAGATTGTTTGCGATCATGACTCAACATTTGTACACTTTGTAGTACTGTATCTTGCTTGTTTTGCAGTAACAAATTCAACTGTAAACTGTTCGGTTGTGTACCTTTCTTGATGGACTATCAGTGACAATGTGGTTGTGACCGTATTCTCAGTGCATTCACTGCCCATAAATGCACAATTTTACATCAACAAAAACAACAACTGCCAACCAGCTATTACTGTACCATGAGTGTGTTTCGCAGAACGAATTGCAACAACTGCAAGCCGATGTGGTGATGTACTGAGATTGTTTTGATACAGCTGCATTTGTTTTGCAATTTACCTTTGTTATGAAGGAAGTAACGAACCCAGCTGTATGTTTCTGTTCTTTGTCTTGATTGATTTTCAAAGTGACCATGTTAGTTGTGATCATATTCTAAGTGCATTTGCTGCCCATAAATTAAGTGCACAGTTATACAGGCAAACGGCAGACGCAACAACTGCAAACGGGTTGGGAATGTACCATGCGGCGACCATACGTGTTTTGCAGTGCCAGATGCAAAAAATGTAAACCATGTGGCGTTGTACTGAGGTAGTTTTGCAATTATTAACTCAGCAGTTGCAATTTGTTGGGAACTGTACCTTGCTTGCTTTGCAGTAACAAATTCAACTGTAAACTGCTTGGTTATGCACCTTCCTTGATGGACCAAGCGACTCTGGCAACTCTGACAATATTCTAAGTGCATTCATTGCCCATAAATGCACAGCTTTACACAAGCAAAAACACAACTGCCAACCAGCTGGTACTGTACCATGAGTGTGTTTTGCAGAACGAAATGCAGCAACTGCAAGTCTACGTGGTACTGTACTGAAATTGTTTTGCAATCATGAACTCAGCAGTTACAAACTTTTTTGCACTGTACCTTGATTGTTTTGTGCATTCACTACCCATACATGGACAGGTTTACACAAGCAAAAACAACAACTGCCAACCAGCTGGTACTGTACCATGCGTGTTTTGCAGTATCAGGTGCAAGAACTGTAAAGCATATGGTGCTCGGATGAAATTGTGTTGCAATTATGAACTCAACAGCTGCAAACTGTTTGACACTGTACCTTGCTTGCTTCGCAGTAAGGAACTCAACTGCAAACTGTTCGGTTATGTGCCTTCCTTGACCTTGACCATATTCTAAGTGCATTCACTGCCTATAAATGCACAATTTTACACAAACAAAAACAACAACTGCCAACCAGCTGGTACTGTACCAAGAGGGTTTTTGCAGAACGAATTGCAACAACTGCAAGCTGATGTGGTGATGTACTGAGATTGTTTTGAGACAGCTGCATTTGTTTTGCAATTTACCTTTGTTTTGAAGGAATTAACGAACCCAACCCAACTGTATGTTTCTGTTCTTTGTCTTGATTGATTTTCAAAGTGACTATGTTAGTTGTGATCATATTTTAAGTGCATTTGCTGCCCATAAATTAAGTGCACAGTTATACAGGCAAACGGCAGACGCAACAACTGCAAACGGGTTGGGAATGTACCATGCGGCGACCATACGTGTTTTGCAGTGCCAGATGCAAAAAATGTAAACCATGTGGCGTTGTACTGAGGTAGTTTTGCAATTATTAACTCAGCAGTTGCAATTTGTTGGGAACTGGACCTTGCTTGCTTTGCAGCAACAAATTCAACTGTAAACTGTTTGGTTCTGCACCTTCCTTGATGGACCAAGCGACTCTGGCAACTCTGACAATATTCTAAGTGCATTCGCTGCCCATAAATGCACAGCTTTACACAAGCAAAAACACAACTGCCAACCAGCTGGTACTGTACCATGAGTGTGTTTTGCAGAACGAAATGCAGCAACTGCAAGTCTACGTGGTACTGTACTGAAATTGTTTTGCAATCATGAACTCAGCAGTTGCAAACTTTTTGGCACTGTACCTTGATTGTTTTGTGCATTCACTACCCATACATGGACAGGTTTACACAAGCAAAAACAACAACTGCCAACCAGCTGGTACTGTACCATGCGTGTTTTGCAGTACCAGGTGCAAGAACTGTAAAGCATACGGTGCTCGGATGACATTGTGTTGCAATTAGGAACTCAACAGCTGCAAACTGTTTGACACTGTACCTTGCTTGCTTCGCAGTAAGGAACTCAACTGCAAACTGTTCGGTTATGTGCCTTCCTTGACCTTGACCATATTCTAAGTGCATTCACTGCCTATAAATGCACAATTTTACACAAACAAAAACAACAACTGCCAACCAGCTGGTACTGTACCATGAGGTGTTTTGCGAACGAATTGCAACAACTGCAAGCCGATGTGGTGATGTACTGAGATTGTTTTGATACAGCTGCATTTGTTTTGCAATTTACCTTTGTTTTGAAGGAATTAACGAACCCAACCCAACTGTATGTTTCTGTTCTTTGTCTTGATTGATTTTCAAAGTGACTATGTTAGTTGTGATCATATTCTAAGTGCATTTGCTGCCCATAAATTAAGTGCACAGTTATACAGGCAAACGGCAGACGCAACAACTGCAAACGGGTTGGGAATGTACCATGCGGCGACCATACGTGTTTTGCAGTGCCAGATGCAAAAAATGTAAACCATGCGGCGTTGTACTGAGGTAGTTTTGCAATTATTAACTCAGCAGTTGCAATTTGTTGGGAACTGGACCTTGCTTGCTTTGCAGTAACAAATTCAACTGTAAACTGTTTGGTTCTGCACCTTCCTTGATGGACCAAGCGACTCTGGCAACTCTGACAATATTCTAAGTGCATTCGCTGCCCATAAATGCACAGCTTTACACAAGCAAAAACACAACTGCCAACCAGCTGGTACTGTACCATGAGTGTGTTTTGCAGAACGAAATGCAGCAACTGCAAGTCTACGTGGTACTGTACTGAAATTGTTTTGCAATCATGAACTCAGCAGTTGCAAACTTTTTGGCACTGTACCTTGATTGTTTTGTGCATTCACTACCCATACATGGACAGGTTTACACAAGCAAAAACAACAACTGCCAACCAGCTGGTACTGTACCATGCGTGTTTTGCAGTACCAGGTGCAAGAACTGTAAAGCATATGGTGCTCGGATGAAATTGTGTTGCAATTATGAACTCAACAGCTGCAAACTGTTTGACACTGTACCTTGCTTGCTTCGCAGTAAGGAACTCAACTGCAAACTGTTCGGTTATGTGCCTTCCTTGACCTTGACCATATTCTAAGTGCATTCACTGCCTATAAATGCACAATTTTACACAAACAAAAACAACAACTGCCAACCAGCTGGTATGTACCATGAGTGTGTTTTGCAGAACGAATTGCAACAACTGCAAGCCGATGTGGTGATGTACTGAGATTGTTTTGAGACAGCTGCATTTGCTTTGCAATTTACCTTTGTTTTGAAGGAATTAACGAACCCAACCCAACTGTATGTTTCTTTTCTTTGCCTTGCTTGATGTACAAAGTGACTAATTATGTACGAACCCAATGTGGTTGTTTTAGACACAAATTCAACAGTTGTGTCCAAAACGATTGTGGGTTTTGAGACGCCTCGAAAACGGCTGTGACACATACGATTTTTATGGTTTTCTCTTAATATCAAACTATACATAAACATCCAAAATATTCTAAGTGTGTGGGGCCTTGTTATTTTTTAAATTCTATGTGTGAATTAACGCAACTCAACAACATATGAAAACAGATATATCCTGGACTCACGTTAAACACGGAAGTTTGATTTTCCCATATTCTAACTGCTGGTCCTCCACTGTATATACTCATCCGGTCTTGCCATTGGGTCTTGCGCGTCCTCATGGCCATCGCCATTCAACAGCAGCGACATCGGACCAAGCTCCACTAACTCTTGAATACCTGGGGCGCGTCTCGAAAAGGGGCCGAGAACTTCGCCGGTTCATCATCACTTCCCGAGCTCATAATCTGGTTGGTGGTTGACCTACCCCTCTGAAAAATATGAAAGTCAGTTGGGATGATTCTTCCCAATTAGTATATGGAAAAATAAAAAATGTTCCAAACCACCAACCAGTAATGGTTATTTGGGGGGTACGAACTTTCAGACACACCCATAAAACACAAAGGGAAATGATGACTGATTCGATGAGATCCATACTGAATCAGTGTTTCTGGGGGCATCCTTAAATCTAGTATACTTTAGTGACAAGAGACTACCGACAATCACTTGTACTTAAGGCTTCACCAGGAAGCCTAAGCATGAAAGAACAGGAATACATAAGCCAGCTATGACCTGGTACATTTGGACACTTAGAATGCAGTCTGCTACATTCTACTACAGTTTTTCGAAAAGGATTCTGCCCCAATGTCCGCATGGTCGGTCCAACACCTAGGTCAATCGCTGTGCCAAGATACCAATGACAAATAAATCTGCAGACTGGCCTTGCCTGGGAGCAGAGTTAGAGGGGAAAATTAACAGGAAACCCTAGTTTGTCATATGGTTTTCACCACACTTTGTGGGGGGTCCTGCAAGTTTTCCGAAAAAAGACAGCAATTCTGGGATCGTCTATTTGTCTGAAAAATAGGGTGCTCCAAAACCATTCCTTTTTAATTCAATTATTTTTAGCAATGATATCATCATTGTCCCTCTTAAAATCTCTTAAAATGACCAGCCGCCATTTTGGACATATGCCCAAATATGGTGGTTTCGTAAGATGGGGGGAATCCCAAGTCATAATAATAGGTTTCAATACTGAAAATGGTCATCCATGACTTGGATGCTAAATGGCTATCCCCCACTTAGGAAGCCTCCAAACATCCCAAGCAAATGCTGTCCAGCTCTGCGAAATCAAGGTTCTGACCCGAAGGCGTTGTTTCTGCGTGGCTAATCTTATGATACCTATTGAAATCAGATCTTAGAACAAAATGGGATATAAAAGAGTAAAGCATATTAACTTGTCACATTGACATACAGTATATTCATATATCATTGAAATATATTGAACTGACTTTCGTAAGGTAGAAAATTGCATTCCTCCATTGTATGGTGTTAGTACGACAGCAAAACAACATAAAACGTGGATAAGCCTTAACCACTCAAATATCTCAAATCATATGATTTTTCATATCTACAAGCCTCAACTTCAATTTTCCGTGGATAAAAACCATTGTTTTTCGAACTTTTCATCATCCCCCAAGGGCCGATTTTCCGATTTTCCCCACGTCCAAGTACGGGAGCAACCATGCAGCAAGATCATCTTGCTCTGCCAACTTACTTCCATGCAAATTCCAGGTGCCTCGAGCTGTCAAGATGCTTGTCCAGATGCTTAAGTCGAATCCAAAGACACAGAACGGACATTTTAAGGCACCCCAGGGATCCCCACAGTCTACATATAGAAAAAGTGTTGGATAATGACATATGTATACATATGTGAATTCGGGTGCTGAATACCATACCAACTCTCAAATTTAGAATCGCAGTTGCTCCAATAAGGCAAGACCAGAAATCTTGAACCAAAAGTTGGACCGCCCATTCACCTGTTCCAGAGATGCAAAGGACCCTCTGTCAGGAATGCAGCATCCGTTCCATGGGAAAGTTGTCCTTACAACACCTGATAAACTAGCTCCGCGGATCAATTAGACTTTAGGAGGGGTGATTACCCCCAAACAAAGTGCCGGTAATTATGCTCTTGAAAACGTGAACTGGGGGTGAATAAGTCGGAGGTTGACGTTGATTCACAAGCCCAGGTGCAAACTCTGATATTTATGCTTCTGCTGGGCAAATTCCGTGCAGATGGACGTCGGCCCCAGTGTCTATGAGCATATGATGGGGATGACTCACCGCTCCTTTGAGAACTCTCGACAGCAGCTCGAACTTGCGAAACGCCTGGATGAAAAAAGTGGAGCCAGTGAGGCCTCTTTTGCGGCATTCAAGTTGGGTTACCATCTGGCTATTCCCCCTGAAAATGGTAACTAGATAGGCACAGAGGGGGCGATCATCTGGCCACTTGTTGGTATGTCCGATCTGCCCATCTTTTTGGCTGTGGCACAACTGGTAGATCGATGTTGCCACATCGGTTTGGTTCGAAGTCGGCCACATATGAGGGGTTCGTCAATATACCATAATCCATCAACATGCAAAAATATTTCTTCATCATGATTGGCGAGATATTCCACACCATCTAGCTGTTTTTAAGTCCTTCCTAGTTTTTTCCAATAGCCCTTTTTCGGAGCCTTGGGTGAAGCTTCGTTCTGCTTGTGTCCGCGCGGCATCGACGGCCTGCATGAACCTGATAACGCAGGGCAGCGGTTGGGCAGTTGGGATTCATGATTCACATTGATTCACCGACACATTGGGAAGAAACACTATGAAAAATAAATGTCTAGTCATAATATGTCATAATTGTTGGTTCATGTTGGTGGTGTATGTAGTTTTTTTTCCCTCTCTCTCTCTCTCTCTGTTTCTCTCCATCGCCCTGGAGTTTCATGATATTCTTCAATATTCTTCATATTATGAACAATGCCACCAAGGCACTTGCTCCCAGCCTGTTGCAGTGACGCTTGCTGTTCGGAAGATAGGCCCATGTTGCCCATGTTGCCCCATTTCAGCCATCCACCGTAGCCATTAGAGCCAGCCATCACAGGCCTTGGTGAGGGGGTTGTCTAATCTTACGTCGTAATCTTAGATACCTTGCGGAATGAGATACATTGAGATACTTGATATTTCTTGCTATAGTTGTCATGGACATCACTCTACATGCATCAAGCACAGTTCTTTGAGCACGGCACAAATTGCAAAATCCTTCTGTGCACAAAGTCCAATCACGGTCAACAAAATGTCAAGGAATACTGTCCGTGTGTAGAAAATCTGGTTGGTGGTGTCACCCCTCTGAAAAGGATGCTCGTCATTGGGAATCGTGATCCCAAATATGGTTGAACATCAAAAAAAACCATGCTGAAGCACCAATCAGAAGTGGAGAGGCCGGTTTGGTAGCATTGCCTCTGTATGAAGCAACCAATCAGTGACATCTATGCCATCTATGCTCCAAGTGGCAGATTGTGGCCATCGAGCGTTGCGTCATCAATCTATGTCCAAGCGCTTCTTGGATTTGCCAACTGAGGTCCCACATTAGAACTCCTGATGAGTATGTCCAGCATTTCCCAGCAGAATCCCAAATGTTTGATACATGAACCCTCACGGGGGATATGATAAACATCCTTGGCCGGCTCAGCAAAACCAGAGCTGGTTGCGCCTGTTGCTGCTTGAACCTCTTCATGTCATGACGTCCAGCTCTTGCTGGGACCCCAATACAATTAGTGAAGCTTACAATAAGGAGCACGGCCGTTTCAGCTGCCAGCGTGATACAATACCGAAAAAACACATAGAATCTTGTCTAAGAGAATCCGCCAACCGAACCAAAAAATTGCCAACCGAACCGATAACTTGGATGCTTTTGGGGGTCTCCCATTTTAGGACCTCTCCACCAGGTCGCTTTGGCCCCTTGGCCAAAAGGCACTCCCTGTTCGGTCGCCTCCGCCACGCGTTCAGAGGAGGTGGCGGCACGCGGCTCCTCCTCGGACCTGGTCAGCGGAGATCTAAGCCAGCTAAGGCCTGGAAACCACAGAGCTGGTTCGACTTTGGAGGAGCTTCTCATCTTCAGGATATTCAGGAGGATCCAGTTCAGGATCCATGAGTTGACACAGGAGCATTTGATCATTGGTTTTCTGTTGCACGGAATGTTTGAGCGCTGGGAAGGTGGAGATACAACGGTAGGTCTCTACTTGGGGGGTGCAGTTCCAGCTTTAATAGAAAGTTCTTGGGGTGAGATCATATTAGATCCCAACACCGTTGTACCTATTATCATGTGTATATATAATCTATCTATCCACCCAGAAATGGAGGCCCATCATACTACTCTAAAGTGGCGCAACATTAATGGCCACTTGGAACTTCATGATAAGTAGTCACTGGTTCTTACCTTGCATGCATGACATCATGTGGCATGATATCAAACGGTTCATGTCCTTGATATATATATGTGTGTGTGTGTAATGTATAACGCACACACACACACATATATATATATATATGCATACATGTATTTAGATAGTATAGATAAATACTTTATAGACACACATATGAGAATTATGTTCATTTTTGGCTACTTACAGATTAAATGATGGAATCTAGGACCTTCGAGCCAGGGTCATTTCATGCCTCTTGAGATGCCGCCCTTCTTGTAGATCTTTCATGAACTTCTCCAGCAGCTGCTCGTTCTCCTTGCAGGGCCCCCGGCTAAGCACTATGATGCGCGTTGCAGCAATGGAAGACATCTCCTGAGGATTCTTGAAGTGTGGATAAGTGTAGCTTTGTGGCTTAAAACATTTTGGTGGGAGCTGGTAGCAGCTCATGAGTCATGAGGCCTTTCACTATCTTCATGGGTTTGGGTTGTCAATACTGCCTGAAGGCATCTGGAAGGGCATTGGCTCTGCCCCCTTCGGCACAACCCCGGTGCTGCATGATGCTGCATGTTGTACTGATGACACCTGATGACTGGATGCTCCCCACGAATTATCATGGAAACACCTGGGCACCTAGCAGCTACCGTACCTCCTCTATACCTATTGTTTCTAGTGATTTCAGAAGAACACACATGAAGTACCAGTTGGTAGGTCATGGGTTAGTTGTTCTCCTACTTATGTAGGGATTGCCATGGCCCACTAGGGGAATTCCTGTAAAGCAGTCAGTGTTTGTGATGATACCAATTAGGTCCAATTGGATCGGGCACTTGGAAGCACCCTGCCACTTTCGATCCTTGACTTTGGACTTGAGCTCAGAGACCTTCAGTCTGGTGGAGTTGGTGGTGCCCTAGCTGTCGGATGAAAAAAACTGATGGCAAACATTGGTAAACTGAAACTGGTCGGTGAGACACCTACAACTGTTAAGAATATGAAAGTCATTATCCCAGGTGGAAATAAACATATACCATGAGTCAAAACAACAACGCTGGGAACCACCAAACAAACACTAAACGCCAGGAGGCACATGAAATATATCTGAAGGCAGCAGCAAAACAAGATGGTGGAACTAGCCGGACTCGGTGTACTGAAGTCTGGCTGATGGTTTAACCCCCCCGGATAGGAAAACAATGGAAACAAAAAAAAACTCACTGCTGGGTTGACTTCAACAGCTTGGTGGTTTCCGCATGTTTCAACCCATCCCCGACCGAAAAAAATGTCCATTGGGGAACCTTATCCTGGGATGTGACCTCTTCAGGGTAACTCTGAGGGAATCACTTCCAAGCGCTCTTTGTTCTGCTCGTTGTTGTTTAGCTCCTGGCCAAATCTTGCCAGAAATTTGCGAAACCTGCTGGGGATGTGACCACAAGAGGTAAGTGCATCTTCCTGTAGGTTTGTGCTGATTCCATTTTTGCAATTATAATCAAATTATGTGTACTATGAGTCTATAAGGTGTGCCCTGCGGCCAAAGTCCGCCTGGTTGCTGATAAACTTGTTCGCCTCCTGGCTTGGACAAATTCAGCTGACCCATTTCTAGAAAGCATTTGGTTCCCCAGTCTGGCATCTCTGTTGACTGCAGTTCACCCTTTTCCATTGGGATAGTCTCAGGCTTCTTGAACCCTCCTCCAGAAACGCCCCCCCAGTACCCTTAGGGAAGTCTACCAGCATACAAGTGGACACAAATGGCAAAGTTCCAGTTGCCATCCCTACTCAAGACATCCCAAAACATCCAAAAAACATCCCAAAAAAACATCCAAAAACACCCAAAAACACCCAAAAAAACATACCAAACACATCCAAATCCAAAAGCATCCAAAACATAAAACAACATCCAACAACATTCAAGAAAACATGCAAAAACATCCAAAAACCCTCTCAATTTCTCTCAGAAGTCTGGTTTTCTCAGGGAACAATTCACATCAATCCACGCCTCCCGGAAGCTGCTTCGGGCGAAGGCCACCTCCTGAAGCGGGGCGAATTCACGGATGTGTTTTTTCTTCGTAAACCCCAAAAATATCCAAAAATAGATAGTAAACGATGGTAAACGTGTATCATAATATAAATATAATATATTATATATAAATAAACATGTCTTTGTGTTGGTTTAGATTCGCATTGCATGTTTATCTGTTTTCTTTTTTTTTGTTGGGGGACGATGTGCATTTTTTGCATTCCCGTATGCAAAGGGGTCATGAAATCATCAAGGGGTGAAACCACTAGCCCCTCGTCACTTTCGTTTGAAAGCTCTAAGAAGCTACTGTTAGGCGCGGGTAGGGGACATTGACCTAGTGAAAAAGACTGAAATGACCAATCGTATCGATCCAAGCATTATACTATAACTCATGAATTCATCAATCCACATTTCATAAATCCAAATATCCTCCGGTAATCATCATAGCCATGGGAAATGACCGGCCCCATGAAAACATGATGTTCCATGATGTTCCATGATGTTCCATGATGTTCCATGATGTTCCAATCAACAGCGCTCATCTCTGCGCCCATCACGTTGGCATTGAGCTCTAGGGCCATCCGGTGATTTAAGATAGCTATGGAAACCCTGGCCAAATTAGTTCCATGATTTACCTATTCAAACATGTGATTTTCCATAGCCCCTAAAATACAAGAGAATCATCATGAATTTGGACATCTATTCTGTTGCGCCATCATCCACAAATTCTTGTGCAATTGTGTTTTATACCACTTGAGGTATGTAATCATGGCCAGTCTTAGATGCCCTGCAAAAGGTCTTGTCTCTGCAGCTGGTCAGCAAAATACCTCTATTTATCCCATGAGAATGCAGAAAGATTTCAAGAAGACACCCAACTAACTAAAGAATCAAACATGGTTCGATGTGCTTTCCATGAATCTATATCATTTTTTAGTTTTCCTTTGGGGTTTTGGGCTGTCGAATCTAAACCATCAAACTATGCGTGCTTTATGGTGGTTTATTACAGCTTTACTAATTCACGCTAATATGAATAATGTAGGTAAAACAATGTCATAAACCACGAATAGTAAAGATACCACCTATAAAAATGGTGATGACTGGTGGATGGTGCAAATGGCATTGTTTTACACACATTACAGTGGATGGTTGAGAAATCCTGCACCAGTTGAAAACGGTGGTAAACATCCCACTATTTATAGGCTTTCAAACATCCCAAATCGGTGTGGTGTTTCGGATTTCGAAACCATCCACAGTATCACAATTCTGGGGGAAAACCATTCCGCGTGGACCAACAACAACCACGTCCGTCACAGTCGCGTCGGGGCCACCTGCGACACCCAGGATCTCATTTCGTCCATGGCCGCGTTGACCAAAGCCTCGAGGTCCACCTGTGACCCGAGATCCGAACAACGAGTCGGTTCCGGAGATCCTCGGAGGGCCCTGGGACTCATTCACTTACCCTCTGGTAAACTAACATAACTATGGAAAATCACCATTTTCAATGGGTAAATCCACTATAAATGGCCATTTTCAATAGCTATGTTAAATTACCAGAGGGTACTGAGTGGCTGCAAGTTGACCAAATCATGGAGTGTTTTTGAAGGATTACCCGGCCTGGTAAACATACAAAAAGCAATTGAAGCCATGGCCATAGCTTAGAAATAGTGGATTTAGCCACTAAAAATGGTGATTTTCCATAGTTACGATAGTTTACCAGAGGGTATACCTTACAACTCACTTACTGACCACTGTCCACTAATCCCAGGGACCATCTAAGATCGTCCCATTCGTGGACAACTCACAAGGGCATTCAACATCCGTCATGGGGATGCAGTGAGGATATGATCAGGGGATATACCATCTGGTTATTTAACATGGCCATGGAAAATCACCATGTTTAATAGGTAAACCATCTATAAATGGGCCATTTTCCATGGCCCATTTAAATAACCCGAGGTTGATATGATATAGTGGAGTTCCAAGTGGGGATTACTACCATCTTTTCAAATCCAAGTGATGATGCTTAATGGGATTTGTCCAGCAATGGCATTTCAAACATGAGATCATGGCAAGTCATATCAAGCATTCATGCCAGTTGTCGCCAATCATCACAACCATAAGGTGGGCACAATGGGAT